TCCCCCCCACCCCCACTCCACCCCTCCCCCTCTCTAACAGTTACCTAGGTTTAAAAGAGACCAGGAGAAAAATACCACTAGTGTCATCCTGGGAATAAAGTTATGGCACCTTATAATCACTACATGCATTATCTGAAATGAGGTTGTCATGAGCACAAACTGTCCAGAAGAAGGAATGTAACCAACAGAATTTGGGCAGATGTTCCACTAAGATCTGACTGAATTTCTCCTGCCAGTTAGAATACAGTCTATTTGTACTAATGCAAACTGAAAGCATGAAGTGCTATTGAAAAAAAAAAAAGACCAGTCTAGTATAGGAGATGCCAAGTGTGTGTCCTACAATAAACAAAAAGGTATGACTGACTTTAGTATATACTCCAACATTATTTTCCAGATTTCTTTTTTTGTGATAGTTCTGCTTTCCACCTAGGACCTATGCGCACAACCCCTTATGTTTGGAGATCACTGCATTCTCTCATAATCTGCCACACTCCATTTCTTATTCAGACTCCAAGGCTGTATCATTACATCTAAGTGTCATTCTAGAGCATAGGGTCTTATAATTTAATTTAAAGAAAAAAAACCCAGAAGAGTTAGGTCAAAAGAATACGGTCAACTCTATTTAAAATTTTAACCACATCTCTCTGCCTTACAAAGGCAACACACAAATTCATAAATCGGCAATGTCTGAGCTGACACCCATTTCTTAGCTGTATTGCGCTCAAGGCACAAACCATTGCTATGGCAAACATATACCCTACTGTCGTTTCATTTACACAGCTTGTGTGTATGACCTCATAACACTTATCCTAATCAAAATTCCTTGCATTAGTGTTACACACAAACAATCCTCAAGTGGGCATGTTGACACTGCAACAGAAAGTGCAACTGCTACACCACTGCCCAGCTTTAATGTAGTTATAGTGGGAGTCAACAATGACAATAGGGGCTGGGAAAGAATTCAGTTTATGCCAGCACCCAAACATACATTCAGGGTCCCTCACAGGCTGGTACAGCCTGCACTGCACTGCCACCGTTTATGTTACTCAGATTAGATGAAAACACAAGCTTGGGTGCATTTATCTAGGCTGCAAGTCACACTTTCACTGATACAGCAGATATATCGATGTTGAGACGAAAGGATTTCAGCTTAGCAAGGAACTGGGTATGCTTAAAGATGGGTACATGTTAAGCAAGTTCATGAACTGGAGCCAAGAGCAAAAAGAACTGCAGAGTGGCACTCTTGCAGTTGCAATCATATCCATTAAAGTGTTGCTAAGCTGACAATTCTCCTGACCATCAGGGCCAGGAACAGAGTCTAAGAAAGCTGCCTGCACTACTATGGGATCCTTTTAAGGTGCAGTGACCAGGCATTTAAAATTTCCCCCACCCTGATTCAGTAAGACTGGATTTGGATACACGTCTTCAAGTCAGTGGACAGGACACTGGAACATCCAGAGTTTCTTCTAACAAAGCCTTAAGAATAGTTACCCCTGCTCCTGTACACAGCTACCTTCCACCACTATTTAATACCACCACTGCCACCTAATGACATGGATTCTTTTCTGTGGTTGCTTAATACTTCAAGGCAGCTTTCTTAGCAGAAGAACAGGGGAAGGGAGTTTGTAACTCTTTGTAAAGGCATTGCCAGGGGCTGATATCCCAGTTGATAAGATTCAGGCTGACTGCTTTGCAAAGGCATGGAGTACTGAAGAAGCCAGCTGATGAGGGTCTTGCCTGCATGGTTTCATCAGAGGATTGGACCCAAATGTGTTCTCACCATCAACTTTCAGAGGGAGCACCTCATGTTAAAGGTAAAAAAGACAAACTGCAATTCTGTGCAAGTTGTGACTCTTATTTGTAACACTTATGATTAGTCTAACTGAAAGTTTATTTCTTACAGTGTGTCCAACAGCATTTGAAATTGGCTCCATTCTCTATTGCACTGTCTTTCCCCCTTTTTGTTCATCTCTCAGCAGTAATGGAAAAATATTTAAGAGGCAGACTGATTATAAAAACCATGGAGACCAACTGGAGGGCTCAAATGGTAGGTGCAACATTTAACCTTACTTTAAACTCCTTCTTAAAGAACTGAGCATCTTGCCAAAGTGGATGACCTTTAAAAACAAACTTTAGATGAAATAAGTTGAAATGTCAAGAGGGGCAGAATGTTGGAGGAACAACCTCATGGCTGGGAGTCAGTAAGTCCCAAGTTCCAATCAAAGCTCTGCTACCGATCCCCTGTATATCCTCTGACAAGTTATTTACAGGCCTGATCTTAAGCCATTACATTCATTAGGAGTTGAAACTCACTCAAAACAGGAGTGAGATTGAGCACTTAAAGTTGCTTCATCTGTAGAGGTAAGAAAATACTTCTCTAATTGCACGGAATCTTACAAAGATTAGTGTTTTAGAAATCACTACACCCCAGGTTTTAATCATCAGCATGTGGCTCTGGAGACAGTCATAATTAAGCAAGCATCAGCAACTTCTTGAATCAAAGTTGAGAAATGAGAAACCAGAAATGTCTGCATTATATCAACATATTTCAGATGCATTTTGTTGAGGGGGCCCTATGGCCCCAAAGTGAAGATTAGTTATTTCAAGAAACAGTGTAGGCAGATCTCTAGGCCTCCATCAGCCATTTATGATCCTCCATTCTCGCTTATCCTGTTTACATCTCTGTTAAATTGCTTTCCCCTCTCAATTCATGATACTGCTGAGCAAAAATCAACCTCAGAAGCAGTAGTGGGTGTTTCAGCAAACAAGCATTTCTTTATAAG